GTAGTACTGTAGTAGGAACAATGGTATTATATTTAAGTTGGATAAATTTCAATATGAGACGAAAATGTTGTATTTGAGAATAATTCAACGTAGTGATGACTGATGAGTCTATATAATATTATTTGATTCCAATTATTTATTTTTACCTCAGTAAATATCATTATTCATTACTATATGTACCTATCTTGAACACACAATTTTCAACATTTTGCAGGGGGTTCCCGAGATCCATCCGTCAATTCGATTTATCCATCTACGATTTCAAGTTTAGAACTTTTCTACTAACTTTTCTACGCAGGAACGCTTATACCTGAATATTCTTTAACACAGTCACACACTTTCGGACCTGTGGCGTGCTCAGATCGCGGACATTTATTCGTTTATAATTGATTCCGAGCAGTCAATCATGATGCGTCGTTGAGTGGAATGGAGAATGAAGGGATGGAAATCGTAGGGGCGCAGTCGAAATATTTCGATAGCATCAAACTAGTTTTGGACGTTTGAAACGTTCAGTGTTTGTAAAGTATTTTTTATATAGTGCGGGATAATTTTTTCCAACCTCGTAACGAATAACGATTTCTATTTAGACATAGAAATAACCAATAAAATATTTGAACATCGAATTATTTTTTTATAGAACAATTTTTTTGTACTTTCAACTTTTTATTAAAAAGCATGCATGAATAATATACTTCGTAATTCATGCATAATAAAAACGCAGTAAGAGTTTGATGTTCATATCACAGAAAAATTTTATTTTCTAGAATTTCAACAAACCCAAAGGATCAGCACGCCGGGACAGACATTTTACTCAAATTCAACTCCATGTCCTCATTTGCACGTCGAAATAAAATTATATTTTAAACACACGTGTATGAGTACCTATAGATATACTTATAGATATACACGTTAAACTTATATATTCGGGACCGTCAAACTCGTTTCGCTAAAGAACACGGGGTAAAAATTATAAACGCTTGCAAATTCCGCCGACGTCGGTTTCTACAGTTAATACTAAAATTTGTTGTCTGCAGCGATATTTAAAACATTGTGTTCTCGCCATAATAATACGAGACGACGACTGTGTATAAATACCTATAACCAACCGTTAATCTGTGTCGAATCTTAAATATCTCATAAGCATGTAACATATTTTTTTAAATACCTACAGACTCGCGCCATGTACCTATAATAGACACACGTGTATACAGCACAATTATGTGCTTACATCGGAATGTGAACTGCGAGAGCCAAGAGACCGTTTCTTACGAACAGCTCTTATTATATATATTATTAAAAAAAAACTCGAGAACAACACACAAGGTGCACCACCCGTCATATTAATATCTAAGTAGGTTCAATAACGTGCTACAATATATTATATTATTATCACACAAGCGTTTCTTAATTGAATGTTTACGTATGGATATACGCATTATATTATTATGATATTGTTTATTGCGGCGCCACATAGTATTTATTTTTTTTCTAAGAGCTCCGATACTTCAACACTGAGAACACGTTGACAATTAAGTATCACGCGGTAGGTACTCTTATTAAACACGATATAAATATTAAATATATTTTCGTCTCCGCGAGGGTTTTCTGTATATTATATAAAAAAAAAACTAGATACACTACGCATAATATTTAGTTGGATCGTATATCGATATCGTCTGATTGAAATTTAACGAACAATTTGTTGTTTTCCTACACAGGACGTACGTGCGGCGTTTTAAACGACTGCAGCTGCACATCGTGTGAATCGCAATTGCGCGCTTCGGTTATTTTCTGCGGTGAAATGGCTTTCATAAAGCTCGTTTTAGATTCGTTCGAAATCGATATAATACTATACCATAATATAGTATAAAATAATAATAATATCATAATAATATTAAACTGAAAACGCATCGAGTCTATAAGATTCCGGTTTGCAGACTATAATAAATTGTATAGTCTAGGTCTAGAATTCACATACATATCACGGTTAAAATAGATGAATTTCAAGAAATATACGTATTATATTGCACTGAATTTAAGCTTATTTAATTGTCAAAAATAAAAATAAATTGTACACTTGAAAAACAAAACATTATTATTGTTTAAAACTAACATTTCGATTATTGAAAAAAAAAAAAAAAAAAATGAACAATAGCCTACAGTGTTGCACTACTCTTATATTTGTATTTACAGATTAAGTACATCCATTAAAATAATTTACGCTATATACACGCATATGTAAACGTGTATATATATATATATATATATATATATAATATATATTATCGTAAACACACTACGCTAAAAACTGCATACACTAGACAGAGAAAAAAAGTCAACGTATCATTATTATATATAAGTAATAAATATAGTTAAAAAATATTAGTCTTAGCAGATCGAACTTTCACACGTTATATTATAATTTATAATATTTATATATATAATTATGTTCATTAATGCTATTTACGTATTTGTCTTTCGTTTTATAACTTTCACTTAGCGTTACGGTTTAAATTGGTGTAAAACAACAAAATATATTATTTTTAACAATAATGACGATATAAGAATATTAATATCATATTTCCATATAATATAATCAGACAACAAAATATTTTTGCTGAAAATTATTTTTATTAAATTATTTTAGGAATTCTATGTCGTTTCGATAAACTTTTGACAGTCTATACAATTTTAAAAAAACCTACCCTGAATCTATAATTACGTATATATGTGGATATAAACAAAAATTGTTTCCAAAGTATGTCTCTGGTGGCTCTTAAAAATATAATATGCATAAACGCTTATTAGGTACCTATATATTATGTTAAATTACAATATTTTAATACGTATATAATTTTTAAAATTATTCAATCAATCTAAATAATAGTCTAATCGTTCGCGATAAACGTCTTAATATCTATAGAAGCTGTTTACAAATTTTGAATTTTGGATAGGCCTAAAATATATGTTTTAGATTGTCGAAATTACGACCGATTTATATAATAGGCGTAATAAAAAAATATGTATAGAGGTATATCATACAAATGAAAACAAAACAAAATAATAATAATAATAATAATAATAAAAATAATAAAAAAACTTCAGTAGGTATACAAAAAAATAATTAAATAGATATTAATTGAATAGTTTATTAATATGTTTAATCATTAATCTTAAGAAAGATTGTAAAAATAAATTAAATATTAATAAAGCATTAATCTATATATATATATATTTACATAAGTGTCGGGAGGAAATACTTTACTCGGTAAACATAATCAGGATGTATTCGGTATTATTTTCTTTTATGTAATTAACTCGTTAAATAAACACTACTCGATGAAAACTATAAACAAACAAATTATATTATAATATATATTACGCTTAATGATAGAAGTAATGAAACAATATTTATCTAGGAATATGGTCACAAAAAAGAACTAGCAAACGATATTATCGTGGTAAAACAAAAATTAAAAAAAATATCGATTACAACTTACGGGTAGAGGAAAATGATAAAATAAAAACGTAATAGATGTGAACGAAAACGCATCGGTGACAATAACGTATACAAACTTGAACCAGAAGAAATCGGCGAAAACGTAACTGCGCCGTTCGGAAACTTAAACGAAACGAAACGAAAAATGATATCGAACAGGAAAAAATAAAAATGAAAGTCGTACACCTAGACACGTGTTATTATATGGTACATACGCTCCCGAATCAGACATAACAAACAAACATAAATGGATAAAAAAAAAAAAAATCGTATCATTACAAACGAAACAATATCATGTATATTATATATTATATAGGTATGAGGTACATAATAAAATAGTATGATAATAATAATAATAATAATACTTGCAAAGTATAGGAACAACGTCGGCCGCCGTTTGAAAATACCTCGGGAAAATGTATCTAAAAGCGGGCGCCCCGGAGCAGCGATATTCGCGAGTAGGTACCGAACAAATAGTACAACCAAGCAGTACCCCTGTCGTCTGATTGGGTGCGGACTAAAAGAATATAAATAATTTTCCTCCAAGCACCGGTTCGGGGTTTGTACATGGGAATGAAAATCTGTCCGTTTAGGGGTAGGTTCTGCAGGTATACCTACTATAGTATAACCTTCGACATCGACAGACCGCCACAATTATAATATTTTCGCAGTCGTCCGACCCGCGATTCCGTACTGAGGATACTTGGCGTTTTTGACGTAAATATTGTTTACGAACGGAATTTTTTTGTATACTTTGGTACGGACGCGTATATAATATTATAAATGATATTATTATGTATTTTCAGAATATGTCAAACAATAATTTGTCGTAAAACGAAGGAAAAAAACAAAAAAAATAAAGTAATAAACATCATATTATATTATTATTATAATAATATTATCAATATAATTTAAAGAATATACATAGAAAAGGCAATCGCCGCGCAAGACAACGGATGTGATAACATTTATTGTATCATGAATTGTAGAGCGCCGGAGATCGAGGGAAGAGATTTTTTGAATTCTCTTGAAACGCCAGTGTTTGTTTTTTCTCGAAGATATTAGTTTAAAGTACGAGTAAAAAAAAGGACAGAGAAATGTAGGCCTACGAATGTGAAACTCACGACGTTTCTTGTATTAAGAAAAATAGGTACTATTTTGTCAAAATATGTCTTATAAGTTAAATTTTTTTTCAGTTTTTTTTTTAGTCATTAATATTATAATTAGGTATTATTTAAATTAAGTCTATGAATGTAATATATTATATAATATGTATAAATATTATGTAAGAATAGTTTGTTTATAGATAAATATATATTATAATATATATTTATAAATTATTTACGTATTTTTCGAATCGAAAGAGAAATTCTATACAATTGTCGAAACAATAACAATAATAATCATGCGACACGTTATTATAGTATTAATCATTATTATTATCATTTATATCATTACTCTATTACTGTGCGAAACGTTGTCGCGCGCTCGATCGCGCCGTTTACGTTTTGGCCTTGAGCATGTCGGCGGACCCCTTGTCCAGGCCGCCCATCTGCAGCTTGTGCTGTTCGTGCGACATCTGATGGTGCGACATTTGCTGCTGCTGCTGCTGCTGCTGTTGCTGCTGTTGCTGTTGCTGTTGCTGCTGGTGCATCCCGCCACCGCCACCTCCCACGTCCATTTTCGTGTGATCCTGCTTTTTAGCCTGCTCGTCCCGTTCCCGGCGGGCCTGCTCGTTGATCTCCTTGACGGCCCGCAGCTCCTTCTTGAGTTTCATCCGTCTGTTCTGGAACCAAATCTTGATCTGACGCTCGGTCAGGCACAGGGCGTGCGCGATCTCGATCCTCCGCCTCCGGGTCAGGTAGTGGTTGAAATGGAACTCCTTTTCCAGCTCCAGAGTCTGGAATCTGGTATACGTCTGCCGACCGCGACGACGCGGACATCCGTTCGGACCTGTGGACAAAAAATAACAAACAGGCGCTCGTTAAACGTTCTACAGAGTGGTCTTGTGCATTATTTACAGAGCGATATCCGCTCTTGTCTCCGGCACAATTCCAGGCAATCCTCCTATATATAGAGGACTGAATGAAAAGTGACGTAGGATTAAATCATTTAAATCTTAACTAACCCATCATTCGGGGAGAACAATATTATTTAGACTAATCAATTTATAGCGTTGCCATTGAGTGGCTGATTTTTCGTATGTATCAATAGTCATATCACATTATTATAACTGCACACATGGTTACTGCTAATAATAATGAGTTAACAATGTATAGGACGATTGATCGCGAGTTAAAATGAATGTGCGCAACAATAGTGTACGGTGTATAATTCGAGCTTGGTAGTGTCAGGTCCTCGTGACACGCCTTGCAGTGTGAATAACACCGAAACACCAGCGTGCATCAGGTCCGGATCGAATAGACTTCCTGACCCATATCGCTGGACAGTGCAACATTTTGGTATTTTTAAGAACAAAAATGTAAGAATATGTTTTTTTGGACGTAGGTGACACAACCACGCTGGACTACCAATAAGCAGGTATTTAATAAGAATAATAGTCAATTAAATCATTAAATATTGTGACCGAATCCGACAGTTAAATTAGATTTTCCGCTAAAACGAATACAAAAAATATAGCCACTCGACCTCGAGACCTATAACCTCTACAATGACTTCGAGGCGAGTACACCAATAACCATCAATTTTCACCGGAAGGCGGAAACAGTGAAAAACTACTGTGGTCATCACGCCCAAAATATATACACGCACGTTTACGAAACAAACATGAGTATAATATTATGACGTGTATTTTTTGATAATATACCTCGTATACCGGGTTTAAACACCAAACGATCGTCGTTTTCTCGTGTAAAAATATTACCCACGCGGTTATAATCTACAGACTTTAAAGATTAAACACGTATGACACTCGTTTAGATACGAGGTATAGAAAGATTAGTACACGATAATATAATAATTATATATAGTTTTATATAATTCGTAACTATATATAGGCATTACCTGGAGAATCGGAAAAACAAAAACTGATAAAGCGTCGAAACGGGGTTATAGTTTTTGTTTTATACAATGCGTTGTTTAGGCTATAATATTATATAATAAGTAATTACACATAATATACAACACGATTACCTACATGTTTTTATTTATTTGTTCATATGGATATATGCAATATTGTCCGGTCGGCTGGCAATATTATTAAACATCAAGTTATATAAAATCTCTATATTATAATAACATATTATATAAATATAAAATAATTATATACATCGCAGTCACAGTACCCATATAAAGAAGCGTGTGCTAATCAGAAGGATGTTGAATTCGCAGTTTGTTAACTATTAACAACTACTAATAACAGCGCGATAGTCGTAACAACAACACACGAGGACGTTTCGAAATAAGAATTATATTTTGAAGTTTGAACTGAGCTGCGTTGTTAGTATACCTATATAATAATATACTATATTTATCAGCCATTGTTACAAGGCAGAATACGAATAGGACGCATTATATTATACAAAAGTACACGTGGTCTGAAACTCTGCTGGGACGTCGCCGTCGGTGGTCTAATGGACAAGATCGATATGAACCAGGAAGACTTCATTGCCGTCGACCCGCAGGTGGCGATAAATCGTTTAAGACCCCATTATTTACTCGGGGCCCCACAACGGGGTCGTAAAAAATTTTAGACAAGCAGTGTTTGGTCGTATACCCACCCACGTGTGTCTATGATAAGGCCAAAGTTTAAGCCAAGGACTGCAGCAGTATTAAAAGAGATCAAAACTCAAAGAGGTGACTGTGGTTAGAAAAAGGTACAAATAAACGATCGATCAAAATAAACGGTATTGCAAATTTGCGACAAGGGTGGAAGCACCTATTAATACTTATCCATTATTATATTTCGTATAAAATAATATGTCAACTACATAATGTAACATAGAGAGGACGTGTGCACTTGTACGATTATTTACCAACATTACGATAATATTATTATAATGTGCACGAGACTATCACACTCATTCGCGACGTTATCTGCAGCAGCAGTGTACAGTACGGGTGTTTTGTACGTGTTGAGGTGTGCGACAATAATTATTCTAACACCCGCGACCGCGTCCCTGCCACGGCCGCCGCGGATGGCCGTCTCGGGAATTCACCGCGCGCTCTTTAATGGCGCCACCACCAAGGGCGGAGACTGCGGCGGTCGCCATGGTTACGCGTCGGGTATACCGCCGAGAGGGTTCTATTCCTCTCTCGCGGTCTCTTTCTCTTTTTATATCTCTCTCTCCCTCTTACTTTATCGGGCTTAAATTTTCATCTCGGTCGCTTACCGCACGAGAGTATTTTCGTCGTACGCGACGGCCGCCAAGTCAGTCTTTCGAGAGGTCAGCTTTTTTTTCCAACTCCAGATAACCGTATGGATATATTATGAGTTAGTGCTTTAATTATTATTATCATTTTGGGAAACGCCGATCGCCGAATAAAATAGAACGCGAGCTATATGTAATCCCGATCGATCGCGGAGGACAAGGTGCGCACCAATAACGCTGGTTAAAAATATATATTATATCGCCGCCTACTGACTACCCGGGTACCTACTACCTACCTACAATATTATAAAATACAATTTTGTATATCATTAAGCGTGTTAAGCACACACTACCACCGATCGTCGTGTGTATAATTTTATTTCCATCCGATTTTATCGCCGTTTATACTCGCGAGCGACTGGTTTGCGTTTTCGTTGTGTCTACCTGCATTTATTTTATACTGCACCGCGCCGCAATCATCGTAGGTATAGGCATTACAATAATAATATTATGTCTTTTTGCAAGAATTTCCAGCCCGGCCACCCAATTAAACGAGTCCGAGTTCTATTTAAAATGTATTTTACCATTATTATTTCGTCTCGCACGCGTTATAATATTACCGCAGACCTGTGTATTAAAAAAAAAAATATAGAGATATATATAGGTACAATACGCTCCGAATCATAAACGCGATTAAATTATAGGTAGGTATTATACGTTTCGTCGTCGTCGTATAATGTTATTTTATCGCAGTTAAATTTTCGACGCCCGAGCACGTTTTGAGAATATATTAAAAACGTTTATTATTTATCGACGACGACGCACGCGGGTTATTGTTTAAACGAAAAACTCCAGCGGCCGCAGCATGACATGCACTAGTCCGTGTTGTTGTGGCGATATACGGGTAAATGGGAAAGTATAATATAATATACCTAACCTGCTACCTACCTATATCATGAACCATAACTATGTGGCTACGTATTATAGATTTTTATTGATTCAAATAAGTATAATAATATATTAAAAAATATCGTGCCCTTAAGAGTGCATATGTTGTGTAGCTGTCACCGAGTGTAGTTTTATAAACGTACAACATAGTACTTGTACCTATAGCTATAGCATAATATGTATTATAATTATACAGATTTACGTTCTGCAGAACCAATTTTGTTTTGTATTTTGTAATCACAGAGCAAAAACATAATTTTTGTTTGACCTCAAGTTATTACAATATCTAAATTTTAACATGCACATAAGTACATAACTCGATTAAATATTGAAATATATCGTAAAAAACATATTACATTGCAAACTCTTAGAGTGCTATAATAATATTGAAAATAGAGTAAATTTCATATCACGAGTAAACTTAGACCTATTTTTGGAAACCGTAAATGGATTGTATCGACCTTAGAACTTTTCCGAACGGTTTATCTTTTATTTTTCGGGAGTATTACTACTTGGCCCGTGTCACAATCAGCACGTACTAAAATCATATTTTCGTTTGAGGACATGTTCTTTCGGAAGACGCTTATCATAGTCGTTTCTGCGTAAACAGGTGATTACTTTGTTCGGAAGAATTATTGTTTAGCATAGGAACTTCCATATTATTATTCCGTCATTAGTGAATGTCAAATATTTTAGGGCCACTATATTACATACAGTCAACTAAATTATGTATCCAAAATTCCAAAATACCACACACATATGATAATAATTGTCTCACCTGCAGCACAACGAGTACATAGCAGAACAGGTTTCACAAGATTAATTATTATAATTTGCAATCATTTACAATAATGTTTTTCTGCAGCATTTTAGCACAATAATATTTCGATTTACAGTTGCTGTTGTTGTTATTATTAAACATAATATCTTTCTACAAACTCTTTAATGTAACAGTAGGAATATGAAACAGTCGAATTAATTCAAATCGAGACGTAAAACCACATGTCTCTCCTCAGCATGCCGTCTCTCGGGCAAAAAAATTAAAAAAACAACAACACAATCACGGACGTCCGCAATAAAGTTCAAACCTTTAACGTATTAACCTCCGTTAAGGCATACTACCTACATACGGTCACAATCATTTATGACGGTATTTTATACACTAGTTTGTTTATAAAAAATAGATTTCAACAAAAGCAAAATTATATGATATTCTAGTATTTTTTAAGAAAATGTAACTAATTATTAATTATCCGCTGTACGCGACCGAACGACCGCGACCTTATAGATTTATAATAATGATATATATACGTACGTACAGAGTACATTATTATTACAACACACGCAATACGTGTTCCGGTTTACTCGTGTATAGTTTTCTCGTTTCGACTGATTTAAAACGAAAAATAAAAGTCGATTTGTTTGCACGTCGGACAACTTCTGTCGTCAGATTATTTTAACGTTTCCATATAATAATATGCTGGCAGCATCAGACTGTACATTACGTAAATAAAATTATATATATATATATATATCATTTTATTCTGTCCCCCACCCACCACCGATCTTTGCACAGTAAACACATGACGCGGGGCCGCGGACTGAACGAACCAAGAACTCTATTTACATAATAGAGTTTTTTTTTCCCGAACGTTTTCTATATGTGTATACACG